ATAACAGCATTATTTTTCCCCATCATACCTGTTGCATTCCACTGACCAATGACTGCAAAGCAACTTCAACGGTGTCTTTACTCTGAGCTGCTGGAACTACTTTTGTTTAGTGGTAGAAATTATACAAACACATAAATTCATATTCAGATTATATCGTATATAATTTCAGCTTAATTGCTTGACTCTTTTTAATTTTGTAAGACTATTGCATAAAAGGTATTGTTGTGTCTTGTTTTGCGTAACCACAGAAATGGGTGTAGTGTAACCATAGAAACTGGTGCGGTGTAACTACAAAATGGGTGTAGTGTAACCATGGAAATGGATGTAGTGTAACCATGGAAATGCGTGTGATGTAACCACAGAAATGTGTGTAGCGTAACCATGGAAATGTGTGTAGTGTAACCATGGAAATGTGTGTAGCGTAACCATGGAAATGCGTGTAGTGCAACCATAGAAAAGGATGTAGCATAACCATAACCAACTGAGTAAACGATGAATGTATAAAAAGACCTCTTTCATTAGAAAATTAAGTGCAGTATTTGGGATTTGGTGTTCAGCAGGTGAGAGCAGGTGTAGCATACCCACTGAAATGAGTGTAGCGCAATCATAGAAATAGGTGTAGTGTAACAATAGGAATGGATATAGTGCAGTCATGGAAACAAGTTTAGCGTAACTGTGGAAATGGGTGCAGTGTAACAGTAAGAGTGGGTGTAGTGTAACAGTAACAGTGGGTGTAGCGTAACCATGTGCCTGAGAAACCAGAATGCAACAGCTGCACCATTTAATGGAACAAAAACAAGTAGTCAGTGGATAGAAAGACGTATAGAAATTTGTACGTCTGTTCTTCTCTTTTTAATCCTTTCGGTCTAGAATAAAACACCGATGCTCCAGAGTGAGAGGAGTGAACAACAGTGAAGCAGAACAGCAGCTGAGCCAACAGAGTGAAATAAGAGAATTAGGAACTGAATGTTAATGATGTAAAAGTACAAATTAGATTATTTTACTCACTAATATACTGGAGCAGAAGTGAAAGTGTTATCATTTGGAAACACTCAGCAGAGAACAGATCCATCAAACGTTACTGCAGTGCATGGTGCCAATTGACTACCCACATATTTAACAATTTTTGCAGTGACTAAAGGACTAAAAGAAAAACGAAAAAGGTAAAACGTTGAAAGTATCTAAAAGAGGAGCATTAAAAAGCGCAAAACGTGCTGAAAAGTGGTAGCAGATCATCCTATGACAAAAATAATAAGCAGACACAGTCTGTGTGTATGGACCACATCAAAGATCTCTACTATAAACATAACTTTATACTGAGTAAGCACGTTTCAGTGGAATTCACATAAAGGGAACATGTGAGCGTTTATACAGCAGCTAACTGACACATAGCATACCTGAGATTAAAGGAGCGTGAAATGAGAGAGAGAGAGAGAGAGAGAGAGAGAGAGAGAGAGAGAGAGAGAGAGAGAGAAGAAGTAACTGGCGTGAAAAGGAGAGGAGGAAAAGGAAAAAGAGAGGGGGGAAACAGAGAGAGCCAGGAGGGCGAGAGAGAAAAGAGAGGAAAGGGAGAGGGTGGAAAGACAGGGACAGAAAGAGCGAAAGAAGGAAAGTGTTTATAGAGAAAGAAAAATGAAATAGAGAGAGAGCGAGAGAGAGAGACAGAGAGAGAGAGAAAGAGGGAGAGAGCGAGAGAGAGGGAGAGAGAGAGCAAGAGTGAGAGAGCGAGAGGGAGAGAGAGAGAGAGAGAGAGGGAGAGAGAGAGGGAGAGAGAGAGAGCGAGAGAGCAAGAGTTCATAGTTTTATTGACCTAGAAAATGAACCTGAAAATGAAAATGAGACCTGCTGCTTCTTGTCCTCATGTGACCTCTCTGACAGACCGCTGGGGTCAACATATGGGGAACATAAGAGCTTAGTTTTGGTTTCAGAAGTGGGAGGAACCTCGGTTTGGAGGGTTAGAACAACGTAGTGAGACCATGGAAGTGAGTATAGCAGAATCATGGGCAACACGTAGTGTAACCATGGAAACAGGTGTAGCATAACTATTAAAACAGGTGTAGCATAACCATGGAAATGAGTGTAGTGTGACCATTAAATCAGGTGTACCATAAATATTAGACCAGATGTAACATGACAATGAAACCAGGTGTAATGCTACCATGGAAATGTGTGTGGTGTAACCATTGAAATGGGAGTGGTGTAACCATGGAAATGGGTGTGGTGTAACCATGGGAATATGTGTAACGTAACCATGGAAATGGGTGTAGTGCAACCATGGAAATGTGTGTGGTGTAACCATGGAAATGCGTGCTGTGTAACCATGGAACTATGTGTAATGTAACCATGGAAATGGGTGTAGTGTAACCATGGAAATGGGTGTGGTGTAACCATGGAAATGGGTGTGGTGTAACCATGGAAATCGGTGTAGTGTAACCATGGAAATGTGTGCTGTGTAACCATGGAAACAGGAGTGGCATAAGCATAGAAAAGGGTGTAGCATAACCATGGAAATAGGAGTGGTGTAATGATGGAAATGGTTGTAGCGTAACCATGGAAATGTGGCGTAACCATTGAAATGGGAGTGGAGTATGGAAATAGGTGCAGAGTAATCATAGAAATGTGTGTAGCATAACCACAGAAAAGGTTGTAGTGTAACCATGCAAATGTGTGTAATGTAACCATGGAAATGTGTGTGGTGTAACCATGGAAATGGGTGTGGTGTAACCATGGAAATGGGTGTGGTGTAACCATCGGAATGGGTGTAGTGTAACCATGGAAATGGGAGTGGTGTAACCATGGAAATGTGTGTAATGTAACCACGGAAATGGGTGTAGTGTAACCATGGAAACGTGTGTAATGTAACCATGGAAATGTGTGTAGTGTAACCATGGAAACGTGTGTAATGTAACCATGGAAATGTGTGTAGTGTAACCATGGAAATGGGAGTGGTATAAGCAAAGGAAAGGGTGTAGCATAAGCATGCAAATCGCTGTGATGTAATGATGGAAATGGGTGCAGTGTAATCAGGGGAAACAGGTGTAATATAACCATGAAAACGAGTGTCAGTGGGTGTGACCACCACTTCACATAATTCTATTGATTACCACTGAAATAGATCAGTTTGCTGTTGTGTTGCTGTGATCTTCACAAAAGAGCCTGTAGTTAATCACACACAGAAATAAACAGACTGACTCTCTGTTCCTCCAGAGATAATTTATGTACACTTATGGCTTCACATAACATTTGCAGTTTTTCTCGGTTAAATTAGACTCCAGCGTTCTTCACTAATGTTAAATTATCTACAGTACTGCAGGCACTTGCTCCATCGGGAACAGCTCTATACCAGAGCAGCTCTAAATGTGGTTTGCATGATAACGTGTTTCTTATACAAACGAACGCTGTGAAAATTCAGGTAGTAGAGCCTCAACTCAGGCCGATTAGTTAACATCAGACACATTTACACTGGCATGTCAATCAGCAAATACAACGATGCCCATAAAGTACAAATGAATCAAGTAAAAAAAAAAAAATCAACACAGAAATTACACCAGCGTGGAACAGTAATGGATCCACATGAACACAAATCAGCACTATTTACATATGAGGAATAAACACCGATACGCTGATCAATGCCAGATAAACTCAGCAGGAAGTGCTAAACTACCACAGGAATAACTCAAACAAAGCATTCGTTTAATAATCACCGTCAGGAATAAATAGATGAAAAAAAATCCAGTTTTAAAATGAAGAGAGCCGTTTCATAACATACATTTTTTTCAAAATAGATTCTTTATAAATGTCCCATAGGTCCAGAGATTACATTATAAAACCTTCATCATATTTCTTCATTGTTCTGTTTGCAAATCTCCCAAAAAACAGAAGTAGAAAAGCCCAAGCAAGAAGTGCGTAACTTCAGAGGCACAGCGAGTGAGTGTGTGTATAAACCTGAACGTATAGAAGTTCATCATTAACAACGTCACAGAAAAACACCTTCATAGCACTTACAACACAAACTGCAGCACAAACTGCTTTCGAGACTTAAAGGAAAACGTCAGTGTTTTTCAACCTAACCTCCATCTGCTGTATCTGCAGCGTACAGTCGGTTACCACAGACAATAATATCATGTTTCCCTGTTGTTAGAAAATACCAAAAAAAAAAGAACCCAATGACTCAAAACACACTATCACTTACTAACAATGGGCAGTTGCTTCAGCAGTATAAACTTCAATGTGTTTCCCTGCATGTAGGAAATAACAGAAAAACCACTGACTCAAAACATGCTTACAGTCATGTGCAAAAGTTTGGAACACCCCCAACCACTCCCCTGCACGTTTTATAGACTGCAGAACGTGTTGAGTGAAAATACCTTCGCACATCCTCTACAGAGAACATGAATATGGCATTTTTCTAAAAAATTTAGTTTAAAAGTTTCATATTTTTCTATTAACATACTGGAAAAAATAACAAATATCAAATGTGCCACAACTTTTGCACTGGCCACATTTTTCTTTATTGTTCAATAAAAAGAAGTAATGTGTGAACTTAAGCTCTGGGTTCACTACACAACTTTTAAAGTCTTAACAGATTATAAAAGACTGGGAGTCTCACAAAAACCGACTTCATTTTTTGGGGCGTCTGAAATGTAGGAGATCCACACTAAACGATTAGAGATCACACACTGCTCAACTTTGAAGCTGTTGCTGAACGGAACGGAGCTCACTGAACTCTCGCAAACTCACGCTAACTCTCGCGTTCTCTTGTTACTAGGAGACGCGAATAAACAAACATGTCTTGCTCTGCTGCTGTTTTCTCTGCCGTTTGTGCTGACACAGTAAAGAAGCTGCAGGTAAACATGTTTAAGTGAGGATTATGGATTTAAAAATGTGATCAGTTTGGTATTTTAAATGTTTTTTTTTTTTATGTTTTTATATTTAATATTTTTCCTTGTTTACTTGCTGTATTTTCTTCTTTCGTGCTCTCAGTTTCATTGGCTGTTGCAGGAGTCTGTTCAAACTGAGTCATTGACCAGTTTACACTAGATTACTCTCAGAAATCAAACATGTTTGACTCGACTCTCTCCAACTGACTCTGACTGACCCAAAAATCTGCAGACTAGAGATGACCAGCTCAGACTCAGCCAGACTGAGAATCAAGGCTAAAATTGGGGTAAAAGTCGTGTAGTGTAACCCCAGCTTTACTTTCACAAGCTTTTGCAAACGACTCTATTATAGATAATTTAATAGAAGTCAGCAGGCAGTTCTTCATCAGTAATAATTTCAATATGTATGTAGGAAATTATAAAAAATTCACTGACTCAAAACATTTAGAATAGTGGGCAGTGGGCAGCTGCTTAAGATATAATCATTTCATTGTGTGTACATGTCAAAAAGAACAGAAAACCCACTGACTCAAAAAAGTCGACGGGCGGCTGGATTTTCAGGTAGTGGATTTTCTGGCCTTTTCTCAGTGCAGGGACTCCATTGCCTGTGGTAACCAAACATATGCTTCAGATGTCACAGATAGAGATTATAATTGAAAAATGCTGCCCTAAGAGGCAAGAAAACAAACAACAGAATGAACTCGAGTAGAAAAAGGCTGAAAATGCACAACTTCCACAAAAGGTTCTGGCAAAATTCTAAAAAATATAGAGTGAAAATGGCCGAAAGCTTGAAGGCACACTATACAGTGTCGAGAAATAATCAGTTAATACATTCAGGTGGTTAAACTGTCCAGAAAAAAAGCCCAGACAGAATTTCAGCTGGACATTCCTGCTGTAAAGGTTAAAATTTCCCATTGAAAAAAAAACAACAGGCAATTGTAAAAGCAAAGCGAGAAGAATTTCAGAATTTTAAAACAGAACAGTCAAATACACATACAGTATAAACCAAAACCAATTACATTATATACAACAAAAATATACATATCTATACAAAAGACATGAAATGTGAACAAGGCCCACTGTTAATGTACAACAATGTGCATGTTGTAGGGCGTTCCAGTTCATTACGGCAAAACATGGACGTTATAAAAGAAAAATGAATTTTAAAAAAAAGGTTTGGCCTATTTTTTTAGAGACAGTCTGTCCAGTCAATAAAAACAGCACATACAGCAAAAATGTCTGGCTTGTTTTCTTTATTTTTAAAATGATTGTTTTTAACCAAGCCAAACTGGAATGGTTAACATTTGTTTGGGTAGCAGAAGTTGGCTTTAAAGAAAAGTTCGGTCCAAAATGCTAATGTTGCTAACAGTAAATAAAATCAAATCACCGCCAATTAGCATTATTCCGGTGAGACTGGCAACTAGCTTAGATTCACTGTTGGCCACTCTTCAAAAAACAGATGAACCGCACTCTTATTAAGCTTTTTTAGTGCTAACAGCGCCCCCTTGTGTGGAATCTTCAGCCTGCTAAACATGAATGGGTGAGTGAGTTACAAGCCAGGCCCGTGAGGTACGTCTCACCCAGAAAGGGGCCACAAGGGGTTCTATGAGTGATACCAACTTGGTTCCCTGAAGAACCATGTTTGAAAAGGAGCCTGTGAATGTGAAGAACATTTTAAAGGTTTAAACCACCTTCTTAATGTTCTATGTCAATTTAAGGGTTCTACCTAGAAGGTTTATTGACGTATTATGTTTAAAAAGGAGTTTGTAAGTGTGAAGAACCCTGTAAAGGTTTAAAGAACCTTCTAAAGTTTCTACACCAATTTAAGGGTTCTTCACAGAACTCTCACATTATTTGGAGGTTTTTCAAACCTCACAAAGGTTCTATGAGTGATACGGTTAAAACCATTACCGTTATGAGTGATACTATTAAAAACCATTTGGTTACCTAAAGAACCATGTTTGAAGTTTAAAGAACCTTCTAAATGTTCTATGCCAATTTAAGGGTTCTTCCTAGAAGGTTCCCTGAAGAACTATGTTTGAAAAGGCATTGTGAGTGTGAAGAACCCTGTTAAGGTTTAAAGAACCTTCTAAAAGTTCTGTGCCAATTTAAGGGTTCTTCACAGATGCTTTTCAAACTTTACAAAGGTCCCACACACTCACACATCACCTTTTACAAAACTGATTCTCTAAAGAACCATCCACAAAAGTGGTTCTTGGATGGCAATGCAGATTTTGTTGGCACCTTTAGTGCTATGTTAGCACGTTTGGTCAAACTATTCCTAAATCCAGCCATAAAAATCCCAAGATTTGGAGAAAGAGATGAAAGAGAAGATATGAAAGATGGTCTTTTGAGTTGTTTGTGGCTGATGATGAGTGAATCTGCCTTGTTTTTAGCCTGTGAGTTCTGCAGGAGGAACGACTGGGATGGACAGAGCAGGGCTGTGAGGAATGTCAAGATTTTAGCTTTTCTGACCAAGAAAAACCAAACAAATCCCATCAAATTTCAATTATCTTTTCACATATACTGTATGCTAGTGCTGGGGGATATAATGTATATTTACATATATATTGGTGCCACAAAACAAAAGTTTCTAGTTCTAGACATATTGACAGATAGCAAAACATTTAAACGCAATGTGTGCCATTTGCTTTAAAACAACACTTCAAAATATTTAAAAAGTAAAATAAATGTTTCTTTTCTTGAAATGTGTTCTGTGTCTGGTTAAAATTTCTGAGCAAGGCTCCCTTTGAGGAAGGAAACAGAACAGAACAGAACCATTCAATCAAAACAAGCCATATCAGGTTTGTTTAACATACGGGTTCACTGGGTTCATTCCTGCCTTCAGTCTGCCCTCCGCATTTAATGACGTTGCTGTTGCTGCATTTACTAACAAAGTTGTTTTGTCTATTGTGTTTGCAAGCATACCCACGAAAAGGAACATAACCCACAATAACATGCACTTATAACCATGGTTATTCTCAATGTGTGCTATGGCAGTGCATCCAACAATAAAGGCAGCTTGGAGCTTTTATACAGTGATAGGAAACACTGGAGCTCACAGATCCATTTTTGTCCAATGTGGATGTGATGCTCACCAACTTCTCTGAAAATGTGCACAATTTTCCACTTAATGAAGTTATGTAAGAACTGAAGTTTTGGGGGGAGGAGCATGGCTGAAAACCCTCCTTCTTCCAGTCTAACGCCCCATACATTCACATCCTCACCTTCCGTTCCTGTGACGAAGCGTTCCCAATAACCACCGCCACCCCGTCTCCTCCCTGTTCCTCAGTCCTACATCAGTCCAACTACAGCTTTGAGGGGGTCTGGCCTTCTGGCTACAAGCAGAAGCTGCCCAGAACTCCCGCCCAAGTTCTCAGAGTTCTCCTCAATCAGTCTTCCCTCATACTCACAAACTCTAGATGTAGTGGATCAGGAAGGATGTGCTTGGTGTCCAAAATTTGCTTTTTAGTTTAGCACTGGAGCTAACGCTCCTAACAAACACTAGAAGGCAATAGTCACCCAAAACCTCTATCCACCCATACAAACCGCAACCAGGACACTGTGACTCACTGTGGGCTATAAAAATGAACAAAACTTCACTGTGTAGCTGGACGCAGCCACTTTAGACAACAGGTGTGTTGTGACTCCCTCTCAGAATCCAACTCCACTTCAGATGCATGCATAATGAAGACCTGGATGCAGTTTGAGCAGGTTGAGAGGAGTTTTGGGGATGTATTTACAAAACAGATTTGGGTGACTATTGACTTCTAGTGTTAGCTATGTTAGCCTCATAGCTCCAGTTCTAAACTAAGGAAGTAAACTTCAGACACCAAACATGCCTTGACTGATCAACTACATCTGGGGAAAATGGAAAATTATGTACATTTGATTTCCCACCAAATCGTTCTTGTAACGAGTTAAAGGGGGCAAAGACAAAGATAGGGTTAACTGTATCAAGGCAAACTGAAATATCATCAGATATCATGATATGTTTGGAAAGTATTGTGATATTGAATTTGATCAATATCGCCCAGCACTACCGTATACTCAGATATTCAAAAAGGCCTCATACATCACAGTGTATGCTCAACGTTTTGCTCTTAGAGTAAAGAAGGCTTTCAATCAGAGTCTATGCATGTATGTGTGCGTTTATCCAGACACCCAGCTGTGTGTGGTGGTCTTGACCCCCTGCGCGACCCCCGTGTGCGCGTACCCCTGCTGACTGGCCATGGGGTCGAAGTTGAAGTCCAGCGCGTCGCCGTCCATCAGCGTGTCGTGCAGGACCGTCTCCACGTCGCACTCCAGCCGCTCGATGGACATGTCGTCCAGGTCGCTAGGCAACCGTTCCAGGTGACTGTGATGGTGGTGATGGTGATGATGCTGGACCGGGGTGGTTCTATGGTAACCATTGCCGTTGACATTGCAGTAATTCGGCGGCGGGACTGCATCCACAGCTCCGCCCCCTCCTCTTCCACCCAGGTGAGGCACTTGTCCATGGGGCAGGTGAGGGTATGGCTTCACGGTACCATGGCGACCAGGATGCCCTAGGGGCAAAAGGCCACAACCGTTCATTGTGGAGGGCAGCTGAGGGTGAATTGGCCTTGGGTGCGGGTTTGGGTGGCCATGTGCATGAGGGCCGGACAATTTGCCCCCCTGCCCTAACTGCCCCTGGGCATTATATGGGGGCAGTACCCCACTTTGTGACCCCACAGCTTCCATAGGTGGCAGTATATCCCCTCTAGGGTCAGCATCAGTGGTCAAAAGCTCCTTTAAAAGACCTGTGGGGCAGTTATACTGACCCATGAAGGGCCCATAACCTCTTGGCTTATTGTCTGACAGAGTCTGAATGGACAATGGCCACTTACGAAAGTCCGGCTGGCTTTGAGGCTGGGCAGCCAGTCCGGGTGAGCTGTAGGGCGAATAACCAGAATTTCCCGAGGCATTCTGGCTCTCCTGTCCACCCTGGCTGTTATTTTTGGGCGACAGAAGGTTGAGGTTATCTAAAAGATTTTCCATCATCACGTTTTTGGACGATCCATGGTGACCCAGTGACCCGGCCACTTCAGACAGGCTGGGCAGGGTGCCCCCCAGTTTGGTGCCAGGAGTGCCAGGGTAGCCCATGTGGATTTCTCCAGCCTCGCCAACGTCTTCCTCGGCCAAATACGGTGACCGCCGACCGCTGAGCGTGCTGGCGTCCGAGCTGGCCCGCGTCCGGAAGGTGGTCCAGGCCTCGAAGTCATCGTTGCTGTGGGAGTTTGGGCTGCCGAGCCATTTAGAGTACTGCGAGCCTGGACTGTTAGAGCCAGTGTCTAAACCAGCCTGTAGAGACATCTGCACAGAGAGAGCAATAACACAGATCAGGTGCTGTTTCCTGAATAGAGCATTATACGCACTATGACTGACCATCAAATGTCTGTGGACATCTAATGTTAGAATTCAATCAAGCATGTAAGAAAACAGCTGCTGCAAAGATTTATTTAGCATAAAACAGCTATGTGCTAATCCTTTGGGTATATTTATCTTCGACACGCAGCTTCATGTTCCTCTAAATTAGCCTTGCAATTAAATAATGTTCTCCTTACACACCGAATGTAGATGCTCATCCAAGGCATGTTTGGTGCTTCTTTAGTTTTGTGCTGGAGCTAAGAGGCTAATGTAACTAACAAGTAATGGAACCTGAAGCTAATGCCACTAATTAGCATGGCGCCACCTACATGCCTAAATCATCACCTCCCTGAAATTATGTTGAGTTGTTAAGTAATCTCAAACAGGCTCCCTAATAGGCCTGTCACGATCGTGATCACAATTAATTGCCATATGAATAATTGCAATGAACTTTTTTGTTAATTTTAATGCAACTATTGGCTGATTATCTATGGTGCTTTCTAGCTGTCAACTCTTAATAGCTCCCAACTGACGACAGACACAGCTGAAGAAGAAGAGACGTAAGGGATGTTCTGAGGTGATGTGGATGTTCTGAGGAGAAGTAGAGGATGTTGTGAGGTGATGTGGATGTTCTGAGGTGATGGGGATGTTCTGAAATGATGTGGAGGACGTTCTGAAATGACGTGGAGGACGTTCTGAAATGACGTGGAGGACGTTCTGAGGAGATATTGAGAATGTTCTGAGGTGATATTGAGAATGTTCTGAGGTGATGTGAGGGATATTTGGAGGAGATGTGGAGGATGTTCTGAGGTTATAATGTGATGTGGAGGATGGTCTGTGGTAATGTGAAGGATGTTATGAGGTGATGTGGAGGACATTAAGCGGAGGGTGTGCTGACATCATCATGTGAGGTGGGGGATGTTCTGAGGAGATATAAAGAATGTTCTTAGGTGATGGGGATGTTCTGAGGTAATGTGGATGTTCTGAGGAGAAGTAGAGGATGTGGTGAGGTGATGTGGAGGACGTTCTGAAATGACGTGGAGGACGTTCTGAAATGATGTGGAGGACGTTCTGAGGAGATATTGAGAATGTTCTGAGGAGATATTGAGAATGTTCTGAGGTAATGTGAGGGATGTTCTGAGGAGATGTGAGGGATGTTAAAAGGAGGATGTTCTGAGGTTATAATGTGATGTTGAGGATGCTCTGAGGTTATAATGTGATGTTGAGGATGTTCTGAGGTTATAATGTGATGTTGAGGATGTTCTGAGGTTAGAATGTGATGTTGAGGATGTTCTGAGGTTATAATGTGATGTTGAGGATGTTCTGAGGTTAGAATGTGATGTTGAGGATGCTCTGAGGTCATGTGGAGGATGCTGTGATATCGGTCATCTGCCCAGCTCACCTTCTTTTTAGCTGCGCGGCCGCGGCTCTTGGCGAATTTGCTGTTGTTGTCCATGGAGGCGGCTCTGCGGCGGGGGGATTTCCCGCTCTTCCCTCCGTCAGGGTTCAGCATCCACCACGAACTCTTCCCTGTTCCCTCATTCTGAACGCGCACAAACCGGCTATGCAGAGACAGGTTATGGCGGATGGAGTTCTGCGGAGACAGAAAGGTAGCGCAGGTTTTAGTAATGCATCTAACGAATACTCGGCAAGGTATAACTCCTTCAAGGCACTGAGACCTGTTTGGTAATATCAATAAAATTCAATACAACAAATGTATCAGATAATATTTAAGCATTAATAACGTTAATGAGCTCATGCTTACTGAGCACTGCTACTCTGCGCTAAAGGAAGGTCTTATGAACTGTTGAGCTGCGCTAGTTGAACATGCTCAGTGCTGCCTGTAGATAAAGCCAACTGTATGCTACGGTGCACACTTTAGAACATCCTCAAACCACACCGACAGCTCTAGGTTGCGGGATAAACATCACGCCATGTCAACTGGACATCAAGTGAAAACAACCTTGGACAAAAATCAGGCTAAGTGGCTACCGACACCCACCCAGTCCTTTATTACAAGATTAATTACAGTTAGTTTTGTGGCCAAATTAATGATGACAATAAACCACAACCGACTGCGCTTTCAAGAAAGAAGTCCCGGTTTAGCCGTTTACCATGATTGTTTTCCACAACGTTACTTACATAAGAGGACTCTGTTGCAGGCTAACAGGCCTAAAATAGACTGCAAGTCGAAAATCCACACACACATGCTTGCAGTCATGTGCAAAAGTTTGGGCGCTCCCAGTCAAATGACATGTTTTACTCAGAAAATTAATGAAACCTGTCATTTGACCATTACTCAGAGTGGTTTGGTGTGAAATGGTTCAGATCTCTTTACAGTGGTTTTGATAGGAACTGGTGGTCACCAACACAAATATAGCCATTTAATTTAATAAATATAAATATATATGTATATTTATATTTGAAACATCTCTATTTTTCACCACTGTACTGTCCTTGATTGTTCATACTGTGACTGTCAGTTGTCAGTCACTTTCTTGCACTTTATACGTAAATAATACTGTATTTTGCACTTCTGGTTAGATACTAACTGCATTTCAATGGCTCTATATCTGTACTCTGCACAATGACAATTAAGTTGAATCTAATCTAACGTAATCCAATCAATTATATGTGCTGAATTGAACATATTAGGAAGAAATAAAAGATAAAATGAGGCCTGTGCAAAAAACATAAGGCACATTTTATAGTTTATGTTTTTCCCAATATGTTAAACTTAGCAAATAAATGGAAAACATGCGCTAAAATTTGCTATATTTGAGATATTTGAACAAAGAGAAGAATTCCCTCTCAACTCAGTCTATAGTAAAAGTTGGGAATGTAGTCCGTTAGTTATGAAGGGAAAAAAGTCATTTGTCAGATTTTTAACGCAAGCTGGACGCAGTTGGCACAATCCAAATAAACAGAGCAGACACCGTGTATACACACACACATCCTTCACACACACACACTCACACAGCTCCATGTACACACACACATCCTGCACTAATGATATTTTGTCTGGCCCAATTTTTCCACTCACACCCAGATACACACTCGCACACCACCGAAAATGAGGCAGGGAAGAAAAGAATGGAGCTTTTCACTTACAAGTGCTTTCAAATGTGATAAATAAAAAAACATTATCAATCAAGTTCTCTAAAAATCTACCGAAAATGGATCATCTCTCATCCACAAAACTATCTATAAAAAAAATTACCATATAAATAGACTTGATTATGTGGTTTCTGACACTGTATGACTCACTGTTTTCTCTAAACATGGACTAAAGTACATTAGCATGAAGCTAAAAACAGTAGCAAAAGCCTGAAACCTGCAACTTTAGTCCAGAAAGATAGATTTATAGATAACACTGTGTTTTACAGAGTCAGAAACCACATAATCAAGTCTATTAGAGATACGGAACATCTGCACCCAGTTTGAGGCGACTGTGTGATGCTATTTTGTGGGATATAAGCTTCCATTACTTATTAGCTACATTGGCATCGTAGCTCTAGTGTTAAAACTAAAGAAGCAAACTTCAGGCAACAAACTTCAGTCTCGGCTGATGGTTAAAGAAGTGGTTTGGCAACAATTTTACACCAGATGTATTTCATCAGCTAAGCGATGTCTGGTGTCCTTTCTGTAAATACATCCCTGAAACTTCTCTCAAACTGCATCCAGGTCTTAATTAAGGTGCTCAGTGTGACGGTGAGCTATGAAAATGAACAAAACGTCCTTGTGTAGCTGAAATATAGATACATTGCAGTATGCAGAAGACTTGCATGTCGTTTTCAAGCCAGGCCAGCAAATGGATGCTAGATTACGCTCACAACTTCTGTTGTGTTTGTTTAGAAACATATTTCTTCAGAAAATTCTGAAAATTAAGTTATTTATAAAAATGAAAGCCACAGAAAATCTTTCATCTATATACCTGTTTGATGGGAATGTGAAGGGGGGTCAGCAGAGCACCTGTTGTCTGAAGTGGCTGACCACTGTGCTAAGCTACACAGTGAAGTTTTGTTTATTTTTATCGTCCGCAGTAAGTCATACGGAGTCTTAAGCCACCTTAATGAAGACCTGGATGAGGTTTGAAGAGGTTGAGAGAAATTTTGGGGGAGGCATTTACAGAAAAGATTTGTGTGACTATTGACTTCCAGTGTTTGTAAGCAACATTAGCCTCGTAGCTCCAGTTCTAAACTGAAAAAGCACCAAACATGTCCTGTCTGATTGACCACATCTGGGGAAAATAGTTGAAATACTTGTGTAAGCAGAAACTTTCAGGTGGTTCTCTGTGAATCTTTATCAGACTATTTATTCCCAAAATATTCCTAATATTGCCATTTTACCAGTTGTACCATCCAAACTTTTCCGTTCGAGGTCAAGGACAAGAGAGGGAAAATGTTAGCTTTGTGATAATGATCACAAGACAAAAACATCTCATGAGAAACCAGCTGGAGTTGGAAAGACACAATTGTTTACAACACAACAAAGCCTGACATTACAACCACAGGAATCCCCTATATCTGTTACACCAGCATGAGGGCAAGGGGGGGGGGAGGGTAATATGCCATAGCAACAATGATGACAACAAGGGCAGAATGCATCATGCACATCTTCAGTCAGCTGAGGAACCATCTGACCCATCTGCCTGAACTCCATAAGCTCAGTTTCTGAATCGGTTTAGCTTTCCTGCAAACATTGACCAGGAATCCCAGCTTGCAGAGACTAAACTGTTCCTAGATCAGTGTTCGGTGCAAGACGGTACCCATGAGTGTCACCTTACCAGCATAATGGAGTCACAAAGGAACACAACAAAGCAAGACAACAGATAAAAAGGCCTGAAAAACAGCAAGAAGGGGATTTCCTTGAACAAGCATGTGAATGTAACTACCACTGCCCTCCGGCAGTGAACCAAACCACAGGATTCCGCATGGACGAGAGCATCGCACCACCAAGTTCAGCGAGGACGAAGTTGTTAGCATGTCTCTCAAACTACGAACGTTTCAAAAGACACAAAGTTCTTGGACTTCTCTTCGAATCAGGACTCAGCTTTCACCTAATGTAGCTGTTTTCCGTTGGGCCCATTAGGGCTACACTTTGCTGTCTCGGTGCTGAAAACATCACCTTAAATGAACCTTTGTTCAAACGTGTGCATTTCTAGAATTCCTCTCAACTTGTGTCACGACTCCCTTTTTCATTCAGGGAAGTCCACGCTTGGCAGATAAACAGGAAGTGACCGGAGAGAGGCGGAAGCTGCTGGTGGGGGGGGTGGGGTCCATTTCCTGTCACGGAGGAAGTGGACTCAGAAGAAAGGATAAAATGACGCAGTGGAGCACGAGACTGAGAGTGAGGCCAGCAGGAGGGAATCTCCGGCCCTTTAATCTTTCAGGTCCCTTTGAGTTCAAGCCGAAGGAACTGATAACAAATACACCAAGGAAGCGCCTCCTATTAAAATATCTCCAGATGGTGGAACATCAGTGGAGTCATTTCTAGAAACAGCAATGGACCTGATTCTAGAAACCCAGGCTGACCTGATGCTTGATCACCAAAGCACTTCATTCTAAAAGCACTGATAGTTGAACATCAGTTCTGGAAACACCAGTGGACCTAACGCTAGAATGCCAAATCTAGAAACACCATAGACCCAAATCTAGAAGCACCAATGAATGTGATTCTAGAAACACCAGCGGACCCAGTTCTAGAATGCCAATTGACCTGATTCTAGAACCACTGATGCATTTGATGCTAGACAGCCAAAGAACACCAGTCTTGAAATACCAATAACTGACTGCACAAATGTCTATGGACTGTGGAACACCAATGGACCAATGCTGCTAGAATGCTAGTGGACATGATTCTAGAAGTATTAATGCATCTAATGGTTGAGAATCAATTTTGGAAGCACTAGCAAACCTAATTCTAGTATGGCAAAGAACCCAAATCTAGAAGCACCAATGAATGTGATTCTAGAAACACCAGCGGACCTAGTTCTAGAATGCCAATTGACCTGATTCTAGAAACATTGATGCATTTGATGCAAGATCGCCAAGGAACCTCAGTCTTGAAACACCAATGACTGACTGTACAAATGTCTATGGACTGTGGAACACCAATGGACCAATGCTGCTAGTATGCTAGTGGACATGATTCTGGAAACACCACTGGAGCTGAATCCAGAATTGGCATGATTCTAGAAACACCAACTGATGTGATTCTACAAACAACAGTGGACACACCTGTTTCCTGAATGAACTCGATCCTAGAAACACCAGAACCAACTGACCTTGTTCTAGAAACATCAATGGATCTGACATTAGTATGAAAATAGGCCCAATTCTAAAATGGGCCTGGCTCTAGAATTTATCTGATTCTATAAACAGAAATGGGCATGAATCTAGCATATGGACCTGATGCCAGAGGCACCAAGGCATCTGATGCTAGAATGCCAATGGACCAAATTGTAAAAACACTGACAGGCTTGATTCTAGAAGTCCAGTGCACCTTATTCTAGAAACACTAATGCATATAATGCTAAATGAAACAACAAACCTGACTCTGTAAACATTACCTGACTTAATTCCAGAAACATCA